ACACTCTTTTACGTATTTCTTTACGTCTTTTACCATACCTGACCAGTAGTAGTCTTGTCTGATTCCGTGGTAGGTTTTGTTGAAGCCATAGTGAGAAAGTGCTCCGTGGGCCAGGTGTAGAATATCGGGCCGTAAGCTGATGGGAATCACTAGTTGTTCGACATTGGACCAATCATCATCCTCCTTCAGCTTGCTGGGTCTGTATCTCCATTAGAGCAATTCATTCTCTAGGAAGAACCCAGGGATACTGTCAGGTTGAGTCTCAGCCTGGAAGAATAATGGTGTTAATGATTGATCTTCCCTCTGTAACTTACGGAACTCCAACTTGGTAAGATTTGGAGGTAGATTCTGAGCGTCTTGAGGGACAGGGTAGTAGTAGAGTCAGCTGGTTGCGGTCGTGCATCTTGTGCACGGGTGGTCACCAAAACTGGAGGAGAAACTTTATCACTCTCTTGATCCTCTGCTGAACATATTCAAAGATGGGATTATCCATTACAGAAGTTCACACCTGGGGTTTGCCCGTGATGATCAGGTTGAGCGGTTGCAGATCTTCGACCAAGTCGTTGCCAAGGAGAAGTTGCACTCCAGGCATGGGAAAAGGCTTTTCCCTGATGGCGACTTGGACTTCACCGGTCACGAAGGGACAATCCAGGTGGACTCTGGCGAGTGGGTATGGAGTGGTGCAGTGAGGTCAGTGATAAGGACGGTTTCCCCGGTGTAGGCGACGTTAGGCACAGCCGACTTTATGAAAATGGATTGAAGAGCCGCTGTGTCCCTCAAGATCTTGAATTTGAAACTTCCCTCCGAATCTGTACCGTTGGTAGAGACAGTTCCAGGATACAGGTGTTTACTGAAGAGAGAAAGATCATTAACATTAACACCAACATTCATCACAGGCTTACCGGACTTAGGAGGAATCTGTTTGGGTTTAGTAGATTCATTGTTCTTGTATTGAGCCTTCACACATCTATCTATGGTATGTCCATAGAGTTTGCAATACTTACAATACAATTGTGAGCTCGCTTCCTCTGTACTCACTTTATCGTTGTACCAAGACTTCTTACTGGGAGGTGGTGATGGTGTCAGCCGGTGGATGAGGCTGTAGGTGTCAGCCGGTGGATGAGGCTGTAGGTGTCAGCCGACTTCGCACATTTGATGTAGTCGGTTTCTTCTTTATCTGCTAGATATAAACGGACGGAAGGGGGGAACACGTCTCAAGAATTCCTCAACTAGCATGAGGTTGATGAGTTCTGTAAATGTAGAGACATGTGCTACTTCCAGCCATTTCATGAAATATCTTTTCTTTGTATTGGCAAAATCTAGAAAGGTGGTGGTACTTGCCTTAATGTGGTCACGGAATTTTGGTCGGTAGCTTTCAGTGGAGAGAAGGTAGGCGTCCAACACTGCTTGCTTCAGGGTCTGGTAGTCATTCTCAGACGCTAAGGTACTGAGAGTAACCGCAGCTCTACCTGTGAGATGCACTCTGAGAAGGGTAGACCATTGGTCAGCAGGCCAGCTAAGTTGATTAGCTAGGGTCTCAAAGGTGGTAAAAAAGACGTCGATCTCTGTCTCAACGAATGGTGGCATTAACTTACTTGCATGGGAGATATTGAAACTGACGGGAAGACAGGCGGTAGCGTGCTGGCGTTGAGTGAGGTGCGTAGTTTCCAACGCGAGTTCTTGTTGACGACATTCTATAGCCATAGCAGCTTGCTGTTTGTCATGCTCGCGTTGCATCTCCAGGTGACGATGTTTTGCGTCAAGCTGTACTCGCTCACGCTCACGGAATATTGCAGTCTCACGTTCTTGTTTTTCTTTCCTCAAGGCGGCCTCTCGTTCTCTTAGGGTCACCTCTCTTTCTTGCTCTTCTTTCCTTATTGCGGCTTCTTCTTTCCTCATTTGTTGAGCTTCTTTTGCCAGGGCAGCCTCTCGTTCCTTCATTTGAAGAGCTGCTTGTTGTTGCTCTCTCTCGAGCTTGGCGAGCTCGAGTTTGAGTTTCATAGTCGCCAAATCAGTTTTATCTGCAATAGAATAAGTTTCGTGAGTTTCAGAGTCAATCTTCCCTTCTTCTAAGAGGTAATCCATAATTAGGTTATGTATTTCATTTTTGTTGGCTCCATGGGGAACATCTAGTTGATACTCGCGTGCAAGAGTTTGTAATTCAGTCCTCTTGGGACGACATAATGTTCCTATTTCACCAGCTGGATCGTTAAGGAAAGCTTGGAGACGAAACATGGTGAAAGATAGCAAATAAATGTACACGAATATAGTTGTGATATGGTAAATGTCAGAAACAGGATAACGTGGCAACTGGTAACTATCCTGTCGAATTTTAATCTTTAACAATTAAAGTTAATTATAGGATGGTAAATGATTAGTCAATCAAAGTCGCAGGAAATCTTGTACCCGGTACTCAGTGTAAGAGAATAAGGGCAAGAAAATCCTACTAAATAAGTGAAACTGAGTTTCTAAAACAAATGAAACATTTAATTGCCTCAAAAGTGAATTAGGTAGTCCAAGAATGCAGGCATACCTTGCCGAGTCTCTATAGGACATAAGCAAGGGTTTCCCACTAAATGAATATGATACTCACAGAATTAGCGAACTTTGTGCTCTATAAAAGAAAGCTAATTCCCTACCTTAGTAAATATCATCATCTCTGACCGACGTGTAGGGGCGCGAGTGTCAACTGGTGACGAGAACTGCTGCTGAGGTCCCAACTCAGCAACGAAGTCCGTGCTTGAGGAACTATGGCCCTCTTATCCTCCTTCGGTCGGATTGCAGAAGATAGGGTGCTTTGACCCGGGGACAAACCAAAGTACCAGGGTACCACAATGATGATCTGCCGATAATATGAGAAATATCCTAGGGACAAAAGGTGGTAAACACGAGTAATAACACGGAGGGAGAGATGACCAATTAAGAGAATGACTGCGGCCTACAGTCACCACGTAATCCAAAGTTATCTCACACTCACCATATGCTACTCTCGGAATGCACAATACACACAGCACCATATAAATATGAAAATTAATGATAATATTGAAAAGCTACTTTAGCAAAGCGAAGTACGCTTACCACAAATTGACGTTCTGGTACTAGTACCTGAGTGAAGCTCCTAGGACAGGCCCCCATTAAATGTGACGGGAAAGTGTTGGAGTGTTGATGTTCGGCAGTCCTCCAATGGCAGGTGTCAATGCCTGGTCACACTTACAAAAAAAATATAGACTGCTTGCCTGTTGTCTGTGGGAAGTGAGAGGGAGGAACACGTAAAACACAAAATATGAACAATGAAACTTTAATATATTTTCTTTAAACATAAATGAAAATAAAGACAAATCTCGGGGGAATTAGAGTACGATTAAATAACAAAGGTAAATGCAAAGACAATGTGAGACACAATAGTATAAAGGTAAAATAATAAAATAATATAATATGTACGACGTGCTTTGCTACGGCAAACTTCCAAAAAACTCAGTGCCTAACAAAGCTTGAGACCAATCGAATCAATATTCTTAAACTCTTCGTCTAAGAATTCTGGACTCACAACTCGAAGAGCTCTTAGATACATTGAAGAAAAAATTGACTTTTTCACATTGTATCTATGCCCTGAAAATAATGAAGATAAATTATTCGTAGGTTTTCTGTAGACACTAAACTTTAGTGAAGAATTTTCCCTATGAATAAGTACATCTAGGAATGGCAGACATTCATCAATTTCAGTCTCCATATTAAATTTTATGGAGGTGACTTGATCATTAAGATTAACTACAAATTTGTCTGTGTTTACTACGAAGGTTATATATACAAAATATCATCAACATATCTAAACCTTGGAATGATTCCAGGAGTTATTTTTGAAACAAATTTCTTTTCGAAGAATTCCATGTACAAGTTTGAAAGCAATGCCGATAAAGGATTCCCCATTGCCATTCCAAAAGTCTTTAAAGAATACTCATTATTAAAGGTAAATTTACATTCTTTAATGCACAACTTATCAAGATTGACAATAATTTCAGCAGAAAGAGGTAAAACATGGCTCATTAGTTCACGAGCAAGATAAATGGCTTACCAAAATCTTGTCCCCATTGTTAGGAACTATTGCCTAATCTCATTTCACAAATTCTCTTGAATTAGTTAACAAATTGAATAGTGTTCCTGTCACTCCTGATGTAAAGTTAATCAGTTTTGACGTTTGTTCCTTGTTTACAAAGGTACCGGTTGATGATATTCTTGATTATCTAATATATATATATATATATATATATATATATATATATATATATATATATATATATATATATATATATATATATATATATATATATATATATATATATATATATATAGAGAGAGAGAGAGAGAGAGAGAGAGAGAGAGAGAGAGAGAGAGAGAGAGAGAGAGAGAGAGAGAGAGAGAGAGAGAGAGAGAGAGAGAGAGAGAGAGAGAGAGAGAGAGAGAGAGAGAGAGAGAGAGAGAGAGAGAGAGACAGACAGACAGACAGACAGACAGACAGACAGACAGACAGACAGACAGACAGACAGACAGACAGACAGACAGACAGAGACAGACAGACAGAGACAGACAGACAGACAGAGAAAGACAGACAGAGAGACAGACAGACAGACAGACAGACAGACAGACAGACAGACAGACAGACAGACAGACAGACAGACAGACAGACAGACAGATAGACAGACAGACAGACAGACAGACAGAGAGCAAGGAATGGGAAACAAAAATCCATAAACGTACGAAAGAATATAATACCAATATTGTGTAAGCAAAAAAAGAACAATTTCGGAGAAGCAAGAGAGCCGGGACGCATTTTTAAGGTGAGCTCGACTGCGTCTTTCATCTGGATAATCAAAGCAGAAGACACACCATTCTTCGCGCATCACCTGTCGCGCACAAAGGCCCAGAGCCTCCGGGAGGCCACGACCCAACTGCTGAAGTCTTGGGTCGACCAATGTCAGTGGACCTGGAGATGGTACGACCAATCATCGTACGATGGTACGATGATGATTGGTACGTATTGATTGGTACGTACGATGGTACGTATCATCCCCAGCACCGCCAGCGGTGCTGGGGATGATACGACCAATGTAAGCGGTACTGGAGATGATACGACCAATGTAAGCGGTACTGGAGATGGTACGACCAATGCCAGCGGTACTGGAGATGGTACGACCAATGCCAGCGGTACTGGAGACGGTACGACCAATGTCAGCGGTACTGGAGATGGTACGACCAATGCCAGCGGTGCTGGGGATGATACGACCAATGTCAGCGGTACTGGAGATGGTACGACCAATGCCAGCGGTGCTGGGGATGATACGACCAATGTCAGCGGTACTGGAGATGGTACGACCAATGTCAGCGGTGCTGGGGATGGTACGACCAATGCCAGCGGTACTGGAGATGGTACGACCAATGTCAGCGGTACTGGAGATGGTACGACCAATGGCAGCGGTACTGGATATGGTACGACCAATGTCAGCGGTACTGGAGACGGTACGACCAATGTCAGCGGTACTGGAGATGGTACGACCAATGCCAGCGGTACTGGAGATGGTACGACCAATGCCAGCGGTACTGGAGATGGTACGACCAATGCCAGCGGTGCTGGGGATGATACGACCAATGTCAGCGGTACTGGAGATGGTACGACCAATGTCAGCGGTGCTGGGGATGGTACGACCAATGCCAGCGGTACTGGAGACGGTACGACCAATGTCAGCGGTACTGGAGATGGTACGACCAATGTCAGCGGTACTGGAGATGGTACGACCAATGCCAGCGGTACTGGAGACGGTACGACCAATGTCAGCGGTACTGGAGATGGTACGACCAATGCCAGCGGTACTGGAGATGGTACGACCAATGTCAGCGGTACTGGATATGGTACGACCAATGTCAGTGGACCTGGAGATGGTACGACCAATGCTAGCGGTACTGGATATGGTACGACCAATGTCAGCGGTACTGGAGATGGTACGACCAATGCCAGTGGTACTGGAGATGGTACGACCAATGTCAGTGGACCTGGAGATGGTACGACCAATGCCAGCGGTACTGGATATGGTACGACCAATATCAGCGGTACTGGAGATGGTACGACCAATGGCAGCGGTACTGGAGATGGTACGACCAATGCCATCGGTACTGGAGATGGTACGACCAATGCCAGCGGTACTGGAGACGGTACGACCAATGCCAGCGGTACTGGAGACGGTACGACCAATGCCAGCGGTACTGGAGACGGTACGACCAATGCCAGCGGTACTGGAGATGGTACGACCAATGCCAGCGGTACTGGAGATGGTACGACCAATGCCATCGGTACTGGAGATGGTACGACCAATGCCAGCGGTACTGGAGACGGTACGACCAATGCCAGCGGTACTGGAGACGGTACGACCAATGCCAGCGGTACTGGAGATGGTACGACCAATGCCAGCGGTACTGGAGATGGTACGACCAATGCCATCGGTGCTGGAGATGGTACGACCAATGCCAGCGGTACTGGAGATGGTACGACCAATGCCAGCGGTACTGGAGACGGTACGACCAATGCCAGCGGTACTGGAGACGGTACGACCAATGCCAGCGGTACTGGAGATGGTACGACCAATGCCAGCGGTACTGGAGACGGTACGACCAATGCCAGCAGTACTGGAGACAGTACGACCAATGCCAGCGGTACTGGAGACGGTACGACCAATTCCAGCGGTACTGGAGACGGTACGACCAATGCCAGCGGTACTGGAGATGGTACGACCAATGCCAGCGGTACTGGAGATGGTACGACCAATGCCAGCGGTACTGGAGACGGTACGACCAATGCCAGCGGTACTGGAGACAGTACGACCAATGCCAGCGGTACTGGAGACGGTACGACCAATGCCAGTGGTACTGGAGATGGGAGCTGGTGGGTCGTATACCCAACTTGCGCCATCATTGCTGCTCTGACGATAGTGCTGATAGGGTTGGTTAACTGACCTCAAGCATCAACTCGAGGTGCACCTCAAGCATCAACTCGAGGCGCACCTCAAGCATCAACTCGAGGCGCACCTCGAGCATCAACTCGAGGCGCACCTCGAGCATCAACTCGAGGCGCACCTCGAGCATCAACTCGAGGCGCACCTCAAGCATCAACTCGAGGCGCACCTCGAGCATCAACTCGAGGCGCACCTCAAGCATCAACTCGAGGCGCACCTCAAGCATCAACTCGAGGCGCACCTCCATATGAATGCCCGGAGACTGAGGTGGTTTATATGAACTTAAAGCATCTCAACTCTGATGATTCCTGGGAATAACGAGAAGGAGGGTCTAGTGAGTGAGCTGGACCGGCATGTATAGGTACTTATACCTTGGGATAAGTGAAATTATTACATATTCCATGATTATTATAATTGTGTGAATGGGGGCCTGACGGCTGAGTGGACAGAACTCGGCATTCGTAGTTTTAAGGTTCCGAGTTCGATCCTCGGGGGAGGCGGAAACAAATGGGCAGAGTTCCTTTCACCCTGATGATTCTGTTCACCTGGCAGTAAATAGACACCTGGGAGTTAGACATCTGCTACGGGCTGCTTCCTGGGGATGTGCAACAAAAAGGAGGCCTGGTTGAGAACCGGACCGCGGGGACGCTAAGCCCCGATATCATCTCAAGATAACCTCAAGATGGGTTGATGGTCTTCTTCATTTATTTTTTTGTAACCAAAAGTCCCTTCAACAATTTATAAATATCTAATCCCACAATAAAGTACTGAATAATTAATTTTCTATTTTAGCCAAATATTGCCTATTTTCAGGTATATTGTGTCACGAACCCTAAACGTTATATTGAGACAATATCCCAATCTGACTACATAACCCCAAAACCTGACCATGTTCACTCTCTTATCGTTTACCGAGCCTATATTATATGCGATCTATTTTATACACTTTCGTACTACTGCAAGAATAACCAAGTTTGCTTATTGACTCAACCACAACTAGGTGAGTACACACCTCTGCTGGTTCAACCACATCAATAGTAAACAACCATGATTCTGCCGCGCCTCATTACGAGATGGAAGAAAGCTAAGGTATTTTGTTGCACAAATAATCAACCTTACTTGTTTGAGCTCTCCTGAGCAACCTTCAAGTTACTCCCTCGAGATAAGACACCTTCAGTGCCACAGTGATAGTTGCAACAACAACAACAACAATTGTTACGGCAACCATAGTAAATTTCTTATCAATTGCAAAAACAAATGGAAGATAATCATCACTATAAGCATGAACAATAATTGTGTCATCATCATCAGCATCAACAGCAGCTTCGGTATCGTCATTAGCAGCAACAAGAACAGTTCCATCATTAACTGCGACAGCAACATAATCATTAGAGACATTTGTGTCAACTGACGCAGCAGGAGTAATAATACACGCACCCAGAGCTGTCACTGGAGCAGGGAGTCTGAGGTGTGATATGATTTATGTATAATCTCCATTAAACTTGATGTACCTTTAGGGATCAATACCGCTGTTCCCTCAAGCCTCATAACTCACCTCGTTCCCGGCCCTACCACCTCTGGAACCATCAATTACGAATCTTCCTCTTTCCTGTTTCCTTTCATTGTCTTCAGTATCTTCTAATTCAAATAGTCTTTATTGTTCTCGTTCACTGTGCCTCTAAGTCAGAAAAATGAGTAATATATCACTTACGTCGTCAAAAGTGGTGCAGTAAAGATTCAACAATACAGTAATTTGGGCAATTTTAGCATATTATATACTAGCAGTACCCGGCCACGCGTTGCTGTGGCTCAGCAAAGCATGTGCGTTATTGAGCCATAGCAACCTTCCCTGTCCCCCAGTCCTCCCCACCATTCCCCCCCCCCCCCTCATCCGTCTCCTCAGCCTCCAAACCATTCCCTACTCCACCGTTCACTCGTCCTCCCCCACGATTCCCCAATCCACCATCTCCTCTTCCTACCCACTCCCGTGTTCCTTTGTCCTCCTTTCCATTCTCCATTCACCCATCCCCTCGTCCCCACCATCCCAAACTCCCCCGTCCCCCTCATCCTTCCCCTCCATTACCCCCTTCCTTGTCCCTTCATCCTCCCCACCATCTCTCACTTCCGTCCATTCGTTATCCCCACCATTCCCTACTCCCTCGTCCAATGCCTTCCCAAATGATCTGATGTTCCCATCAGAAAATTGGGAACATCAAGTGATCTGATGTTCCCATCACTGAAATATAAGAAAAACAGGTAAAAAATTAAATGAAAACATGAAAAAATTTAAAATAAAATATACTCACGATATGAACGGTATGGTAAACAACACAGCTCACTTCCAACGCAATTCACACAAAATAATTAAATCAAAATGAAAATAAACCAAAATCTATGAAAATTAAATTTATCAGTGCAATCAGAACACTGAAATGGAAATGTAACATATTTAATATAGCATGTGTGTTGCTCTTACATGCAATAGATGGCTCTGTTTTTTAAGAAAAGCATAGTTTTACTTGTCACAGGTGTGGCATCTATACTTATGCTTGCGAAATGAACGGTATGGTAAACAACACAGCTCAATTCCAACACAATGTCATACTAAATAAATTAATAAAAAATAAAATAAATCGAAATCTATGAAAATAAAATTTATCAATGCAATCGGGAATATTGAAATGGAATTCGTGACATATTCAGTATAGCGTGCATGTTGCTATTATGTGCAACAGATGGCGCTGTTTTTCATAAACGCATGTTTTTACCTGTCACAGGGGTGGCATCTATATAGTACATATATAAAAAGACGCGCATATTCGAAAGCAACGTTGTGTCAAAATTTCAAAGCAATCATTGAAGACCTTTCGGAGATTACAGCAAGTGTTGCTTTTACGTCCAACAGATGGAGCTGTTTAAAAAAAAATCCAGTCACAGGTGAGGCATGTATATAGTAGATATATAAAAACACGCGCCTATTCGAATGCAACGTTGTGTCAAAATTTCAAAGCTATCGGTAAAGAGGTTTCGAAGATATCCATCACATGAAAAACACAGTTTTTCAGGAAAAGCATGTTTTTTACCGTCACAGACGTGACATCTATATAGTATACATAAAAAAATCTTGCATTTTGTGATTGGTTCCTAGCAATAATATCCTTCAGGACTCTTTCCTCTTTAGGCAATTATCAATGCACAAACAACAAGAAATGTTGACACCAGCAGTGATCACCTGCAGTTTGGATAATGTCTGAAATAGGGGATTTGCTTGCTGGAGAGTTTTCGAACACAGATTCATCTGTTTGTAATTTTACATTTTCCAAATATTAAACAGAAAACTCGTCATTTCCATGATTATAGCATAAATGTTCTCCATATTTATTATTCTATTTGAATATATGGATTCATAACCAAAAATGGCGAGACAAAACAAAGCTTTGCATGGGTCAAAAGACTTTCAGCAGTTGGCTTTCTATGTTCTTAAGATGGTTGGAGCAATGAGCCAGATATTTTGTCTTTGGTCTCCAAGATGGTAGAATATACCTGAGAGTGAGCAGGCTGTTGTTATATGGTTGAGAGTGTTTAATATGTAGTGCTTCGCTGATTCATAATCTTCAATTGTCTTGTGTCTGATGTCTACTTCGGTTGGTCAGAATTTCTCTGGAGATGATTTAGTTGTCTGTACATTGTCACGAGCCTTGAAGGACATATTGTCTTACTGAGATCATTGGGGCCGACAGTCTCCCAAGTGAGCTTGTGAAGGCACAGACAACATTCGCCTCTTTCATGACCCTTGGTGTCTGGAGAGTGTTTCATGACCCTTGATGTCTGGAGAGTGTTTCATGACCCTTGGTGTCTGGAGAGTGTTTCATGACCCTTGGTGTCTGGAGAGTGTTTCATGACCCTTGGTGTCTGGAGAGTGTTTCATAACCCTTGGTGTCATGAGAGTGTTTCATGACCCTTGGTGTCTGGAGAGTGTTTCATGACCCTTGGTGTCTGGAGAGTGTTTCATGAGCCTTGGTGTCTGGTGAGTGTTTCATGACCCTTGGTGTTTGCAGAGTGTTTCATGACCCCTGGTGTCAGGGGAGTGTTTCATGACCCTCAGTGTCTGGAGAGTGTTTCATGATCCTTGGTGTCTGGAGTGTTTCATGACTCATGGTATCTGGAGAGTGTTTCATGACCCTTGGTGTATGGAGAGTGTTTCATGACCCTTGGTGTCTGGAGAGTGTTTCATGACCCTTGAAGTCTGCTGAGTGTTTCATGACCCTTGGTGTCTGGAGAGTGTTTCATGACCCCTGGTACCTGCAGAGTGTTTCATGACCCTTGGAGTGTTTCAAGACCCTGGAGAGTGTTTCTTGACCCTAGGTGTTTGGAGAGTGTTTCATGACCCTTGGTGTCTGGTGAGGGTTTCATGACCCTCGGTGTCTAAAGAGTGTTTCATGACCCTTAGTGTCTGGAGAGTGTTTCATGACTCTTGGTATCTGGAGAGTGTTTCATGACCCTTGGTGTCTGGAGAGTGTTTCATGACCCTTGGTGTCTGGAGAGTTTTCATGACCCTTGGTGTCTGGAGAGTGTTTCAAGATCCTTGGTGTCTGGAGAGTGTTTCATGACCCTTGTTGTCTGGAGAGTGTTTCATGACCCTTGGTGTCTGGAGAGTGTTTCATGACCCTTGGTGTCTAGTGAGTGTTTCATGACCCTTGGTGTCTGGAGAGTGTTTCATGACCCTTGTTGTCTAGAGAGTGTTTCATGACCCTTGGTGTCTGGAGAGTGTTTCATGACCCTTGGTGTCTGGAGAGTGTTTCATGATCCTTGCTGTCTGGTTAGTGTTTCATGACCCCTGGTGTCTGGAGAGTGTTTCATGACCGTTGGTGTCTGGAGAGTGTTTCATGACCCTTGGTGTCTGGAGAGTGTTTCATGACCCTTGGTATCTGGAGAGTGTTTCATCACCCTTCGTGTCTGGAGAGTGTTTCATGACCCTTGGTGTCTAGAGAGTGTTTCATGACCCTTGGTGTCTGGAGAGTGTTTCATGACCCTTGGTATCTGGAGAGTATTTGATGACCCTTGGTGTCTGGTGAGTGTTTCATGACCCCTGGCGTTTGGAGAGTGTTTCATGACCCCTGGTGTCTGGAGAGTGTTTCATGACCCTTGGTGTCTGGAGAGTGTTTCATGACCCTTGGTGTCTGGAGAGTGTTTCATGACCCTTGAAGTCTGCTGAGTGTTTCATGACCCTTGGTGTCTGGAGAGTGTTTCATGACCCCTGGTACCTGCAGAGTGTTTCATGACCCTTGGTGCCTGGAGAGTGTTTCTTGACCCTAGGTGTTTGGAGAGTGTTTCATAACCCTTGGTGTCTGGTGAGATGTTCATGACCCTCGGTGTCTAAAGAGTGTTTCATGACCCTTAGTGTCTGGAGAGTGTTTCATGACTCTTGGTATCTGGAGAGTGTTTCATGACCCTTGGTGTCTGGAGAGTGTTTCATGACCCTTGGTGTCTGGAGAGTTTTCATGACCCTTGGTGTCTGGAGAGTGTTTCAAGATCCTTGGTGTCTGGAGAGTGTTTCATGACCCTTGTTGTCTGGAGAGTGTTTCATGACCCTTGGTGTCTGGAGAGTGTTTCATGACCCTTGGTGTCTAGTGAGTGTTTCATGACCCTTGGTGTCTGGAGAGTGTTTCATGACCCTTGTTGTCTAGAGAGTGTTTCATGACCCTTGGTGTCTGGAGAGTGTTTCATGACCCTTGGTGTCTGGAGAGTGTTTCATGATCCTTGCTGTCTGGTTAGTGTTTCATGACCCCTGGTGTCTGGAGAGTGTTTCATGACCGTTGGTGTCTGGAGAGTGTTTCATGACCCCTGGTGTCTGGAGAGTGTTTCATGACCCTTGGTATCTGGAGAGTGTTTCATCACCCTTGGTGTCTGGAGAGTGTTTCATGACCCTTGGTGTCTAGAGAGTGTTTCATGACCCTTGGTGTCTGGAGAGTGTTTCATGACCCTTGGTATCTGGAGAGTATTTGATGACCCTTGGTGTCTGGTGAGTGTTTCATGACCCCTGGCGTTTGGAGAGTGTTTCATGACCCCTGGTGTCTGGAGAGTGTTTCATCACCCTTGGTGTCTGGAGAGTGTTTCATGACCCTTGGTGTCTAGAGAGTGTTTCATGACCCTTGGTGTCTGGAGAGTGTTTCATGACCCTTGTTGTCTAGAGAGTGTTTCATGACCCTTGGTGTCTGGAGAGTGTTTCATGACCCTTGGTGTCTGGAGAGTGTTTCATGATCCTTGCTGTCTGGTTAGTGTTTCATGACCCTTGGTGTCTGGAGAGTGTTTCATGACCGTTGGTGTCTGGAGAGTGTTTCATGACCCTTGGTGTCTGGAGAGTGTTTCATGACCCTTGGTATCTGGAGAGTGTTTCATCACCCTTCGTGTCTGGAGAGTGTTTCATGACCCTTGGTGTCTAGAGAGTGTTTCATGACCCTTGGTGTCTGGAGAGTGTTTCATGACCCTTGGTATCTGGAGAGTATTTGATGACCCTTGGTGTCTGGTGAGTGTTTCATGACCCCTGGCGTTTGGAGAGTGTTTCATGACCCCTGGTGTCTGGAGAGTGTTTCATGACCCTTGGTGTCTGGAGAGTGTTTCATGACCCTTGGTGTCTGGAGAGTGTTTCATGACCCTTGAAGTCTGCTGAGTGTTTCATGACCCTCGGTGTCTAAAGAGTGTTTCATGACCCTTAGTGTCTGGAGAGTGTTTCATGACTCTTGGTATCTGGAGAGTGTTTCATGACCCTTGGTGTCTGGAGAGTGTTTCATGACCCTTGGTGTCTGGAGAGTTTTCATGACCCTTGGTGTCTGGAGAGTGTTTCAAGATCCTTGGTGTCTGGAGAGTGTTTCATGACCCTTGTTGTCTGGAGAGTGTTTCATGACCCTTGGTGTCTGGAGAGTGTTTCATGACCCTTGGTGTCTAGTGAGTGTTTCATGACCCTTGGTGTCTGGAGAGTGTTTCATGACCCTTGTTGTCTAGAGAGTGTTTCATGACCCTTGGTGTCTGGAGAGTGTTTCATGACCCTTGGTGTCTGGAGAGTGTTTCATGATCCTTGCTGTCTGGTTAGTGTTTCATGACCCCTGGTGTCTGGAGAGTGTTTCATGACCGTTGGTGTCTGGAGAGTGTTTCATGACCCTTGGTGTCTGGAGAGTGTTTCATGACCCTTGGTATCTGGAGAGTGTTTCATCACCCTTCGTGTCTGGAGAGTGTTTCATGACCCTTGGTGTCTAGAGAGTGTTTCATGACCCTTGGTGTCTGGAGAGTGTTTCATGACCCTTGGTATCTGGAGAGTATTTGATGACCCTTGGTGTCTGGTGAGTGTTTCATGACCCCTGGCGTTTGGAGAGTGTTTCATGACCCCTGGTGTCTGGAGAGTGTTTCATGACCCTTGGTGTCTGGAGAGTGTTTCATGACCCTTGGTGTCTGGAGAGTGTTTCATGACCCTTGAAGTCTGCTGAGTGTTTCATGACCCTTGGTGTCTGGAGAGTGTTTCATGACCCCTGGTACCTGCAGAGTGTTTCATGACCCTTGGTGCCTGGAGAGTGTTTCTTGACCCTAGGTGTTTGGAGAGTGTTTCATAACCCTTGGTGTCTGGTGAGATGTTCATGACCCTCGGTGTCTAAAGAGTGTTTCATGACCCTTAGTGTCTGGAGAGTGTTTCATGACTCTTGGTATCTGGAGAGTGTTTCATGACCCTTGGTGTCTGGAGAGTGTTTCATGACCCTTGGTGTCTGGAGAGTTTTCATGACCCTTGGTGTCTGGAGAGTGTTTCAAGATCCTTGGTGTCTGGAGAGTGTTTCATGACCCTTGTTGTCTGGAGAGTGTTTCATGACCCTTGGTGTCTGGAGAGTGTTTCATGACCCTTGGTGTCTAGTGAGTGTTTCATGACCCTTGGTGTCTGGAGAGTGTTTCATGACTCTTGTTGTCTAGAGAGTGTTTCATGACCCTTGGTGTCTGGAGAGTGTTTCATGACCCTTGGTGTCTGGAGAGTGTTTCATGATCCTTGCTGTCTGGTTAGTGTTTCATGACCCCTGGTGTCTGGAGAGTGTTTCATGACCGTTGGTGTCTGGAGAGTGTTTCATGACCCCTGGTGTCTGGAGAGTGTTTCATGACCCTTGGTATCTGGAGAGTGTTTCATCACCCTTGGTGTCTGGAGAGTGTTTCATGACCCTTGGTGTCTAGAGAGTGTTTCATGACCCTTGGTGTCTGGAGAGTGTTTCATGACCCTTGGTATCTGGAGAGTATTTGATGACCCTTGGTGTCTGGTGAGTGTTTCATGACCCCTGGCGTTTGGAGAGTGTTTCATGACCCCTGGTGTCTGGAGAGTGTTTCATCACCCTTGGTGTCTGGAGAGTGTTTCATGACCCTTGGTATCTAGAGAGTGTTTCATGACCCTTGGTGTCTGGAGAGTGTTTCATGACCCTTGTTGTCTAGAGAGTGTTTCATGACCCTTGGTGTCTAGAGAGTGTTTCATGACCCTTGGTGTCTGGAGAGTGTTTCATGATCCTTGCTGTCTGGTTAGTGTTTCATGACCCCTGGTGTCTGGAGAGTGTTTCATGACCGTTGGTGTCTGGAGAGTGTTTCATGACCCTTGGTGTCTGGAGAGTGTTTCATGACCCTTGGTATCTGGAGAGTGTTTCATCACCCTTCGTGTCTGGAGAGTGTTTCATGACCCTTGGTGTCTAGAGAGTGTTTCATGACCCTTGGTGTCTGGAGAGTGTTTCATGACCCTTGGTATCTGGAGAGTATTTGATGACCCTTGGTGTCTGGTGAGTGTTTCATGACCCCTGGCGTTTGGAGAGTGTTTCATGACCCCTGGTGTCTGGAGAGTGTTTCATGACCCTTGGTGTCTGGAGAGTGTTTCATGACCCTTGGTGTCTGGAGAGTGTTTCATGACCCTTGAAGTCTGCTGAGTGTTTCATGACCCTTGGTGTCTGGAGAGTGTTTCATGACCCCTGGTACCTGCAGAGTGTTTAATGACCCTTGGTGCCTGGAGAGTGTTTCTTGACCCTAGGTGTTTGGAGAGTGTTTCATGACCCTTGGTGTCTGGTGAGGGGTTCATGACCCTCGGTGTCTAAAGAGTGTTTCATGACCCTTAGTGTCTGGAGAGTGTTTCATGACTCTTGGTATCTGGAGAGTGTTTCATGACCCTTGG